CACGAGCCACAGTCCGAGAGCCTGAAATTAAAATTAACAAAAATATTAATTGGCTGAATGTTGGACACGACACAACCAGAGTACCTGTATCTGCATCTGCGTCTGCGTCTGCAAATGTATCTGTGTATCTGCGCATCTGTGCATCCATGAGGCTCTATCTGTCGCTTTCCTGTTTCCGTTTGATATTTCATTTCCACTGAACATCTATTTTGATTGCGGAAGGAAAGTGCCAGAAATTTGGGACAAATTAAATGCCGAAAAACAGTCCTCGAATCTGCGCCTGTCCTCTGGCTCTTTGAACACCTGGCCTGCTCCGTGCATATTTGCAGTCCTTTCAAGTTCTATAATTTCCAGAATATACATACATATCCACACACATACATTTTATTACATTTTGTATATATTTTCATTTATGTTTGATATATGTATATGTATTTGGAATATTTTTTCTGTACAGCAAAAATCTCTCATGATGCGCATGCAGAAATTATTTTAATTTTCAATAAAAATGCAAATATTTTATTTATAATTTTTGTGCACAAAAAAAAAACACACACCCACACCCACACATCCTACTCATAGAATAGATATATGTATACGATATATGTACAACCCAAAGAACATTTTGTCGTATCTGCCACATCTGCCACATATGGCATTGGCGTGTGGCAACTGTTCATTGGGTTACAAAATATTTGATGTGGCGACAATTTGACGGCTACTGCCGTGCTGCGGGGGGCATTACAGCAGAAACCCATCGGAGGAGAAGGTGGCAAAAAAAAAAGAGCTGTATATAGGAACTGACAAGCCGTCAAACTGACAAACTGACAAACTGACGAAACAGAAGCCCCCACCCCTGACTTGCAGCCGCCTAGTTTAACATATTTGCACGGGTCATGGGTCATGGCTGGATGGCATGGGGATCGAATGTGGGCTGTCAATCGAACGGGGGCGTTCTTTGGTTATCGGTTATATCTGTTTTTTGGCAGTACATACATTTTTTAGCTATAAACAGGAAATATATTCAAGGAACTACCTAATAGGGGCATTTCCAGCGAAAAGGTCCACCATGCCATCATACATTTCTTCTCTATTATTGAGAGTTAACTAATTTCACCAAATGACATATAATTTCCTTAACTTTAATCTAAAAACCTTTTAAAATAAGCAAAAGTTTGCTATTTCGGTTTTTTTTTTGTCCCTTTCATGGTCATGTTTTCCTTTACTAGTATCTTCTATAAGAATGTTGATACTTGATTAAAGTTTTTCCTTTTAGTCTTTAGAAGATATTGCACCTTCTAAAAACAAACCCAGATAATTGGCACAGTCTCGGCTAATGGTAGATTTTTAAACTTTAATTACCACGGAATTAGGAAGAAAACAGAAAATGTTTTCGCATTTAATAACTTAGAAAAATTAAGGCTCAATACTTAAGATATTATCACGAAAAATGTATTACGGATAGTCCTAACCAATTCGCAGAGTTTTGCAATCTTGTAACGCAACCATAGAAACCACTTCTGTTTTTTATCAGGTCAAATTTTGTCTTATAAAAGGTGGTATTATTGTAACTTTTAGGATGAACATAGGGCTATCTAATTAGTAATTACTAATGAACTAGGATAATATTTGTTTCGAAACTCGACTTGTTTGCTCCTTTTGAATTGGGATTGGAAGTGCTTGTATCTGTTATTCCTTTGGTACAGAGAATCGTAGTGTCGCGGCACGTTTCGCGGCTCGACTTCAAACGTTTCGAGAGCATTGAAAAGTCATCTATCCCCGGATCCGGTGTAGAGCACTCTTTCATCTGTCCAATAAAATGCATTTGATGTGTGTATAAATATTTTTGACCTGTGAATCGGTTTGGTTCGGGGTTCGGCTTTGTAGGGCCTTGGGGGATTGTGAGATTTTGAACGCGGTCTAAACTGTCAACTGCAGTTTTTTGCAGGGTTTCGACGAGGCTTTCAGGCATTTTGGGACGGGATGTTCGAACATACATACAGGAAATTATCAAAATGCAATTTTCAATTAAATGCCAAGAAAAACACGCAAAGGAAAAACAAAAGCGGAAACGGAAACGAACAAAAATCGTTAAAAGAAAATAAGAGGATATTTTTATGAAAAAATACATTTAAATGGAATTATATTCCATTGTGGCCTCTGCCTTTGACCCCCGAGGGATATGCATATACATATATTGAAAAGATATATGTAAATTACAAACAGATCAGACAGTAAGAGCATTGAAATGACCAAGGAATCGATGGTACAGCTTTTGTTAATCTATTAAAAATCATACCTTAAAGATTTCCGATGACAGATGCCAAGGAATATCATTGGCTTTGAAAGAATTCCTAAAGAGAATTATTAGTTTACGTTTAAGCCAATAAAAGTGTTCAAAAAATTGCATATCTGTATCTGCATCTGTATCTGAAAAGCACCTGACAGTACATTTCATTGACCTGCAAAAATAAGGCTGCAAAAGGGGACTTTTAAGTACTCCTCCTCCTCCTCCTCCCTGAAACACATGCGTATAGGTACGACTCGTACGATCCAAAAAAAGGCATGAACAAAGGGCGTAAGCCAAAGCCGTAGATGAAAGACAGAACTGAAGCCGAAACGGGGACAAAGAAAACGCTGAATCCGCGCCAGAGTGGATTTTGGGTGGCAAAGCCGACAGCTTATAGGCCCAGATGTTGCACTTTGTACCTGTGCCACGGTGACGACTGTAGGTGCAACTGCAACAGCAGCGACAACTGAAAGTGTGAACGACACAGTGTGTCCCCTTTATTGTTGTTGATTCTGAAGGTGCGCGTGCGGTCGTCGGTCGGTCATCATCATTTGTCGTCAGGCAAAACGGATCCGATCCGATCCGATCCGATGGGTATCTTAAATCACAACTGATGCCGCCCTCGCCGTCACTTTCATTATGTTTTTCAGCGGGGGACTCTTCTCATTTTGACTCTTGGGCTGCCACAGTGACACCCAACTGGTGGCATGTGGCATTCAAATTCCTATAAATAATAGATCATTTTTGGCAGGTGCCTTCAATGGGTATTTTTTTCTGAGAGACGTGCGAGTTTGAGCTTTTTATTTGGTCTTCTTTCCCATTGCTAAAATATTTATTTATATTCAAGGCTTTCGGCTCATTACGTAGGCCTTCCATTCACAAGGAAATGATATAATATCTTGAAGAATTCCCTCCATTTCAAGCCCAATCTTTAGTTGGCAGATGCAGACCTTCTATCGCCGAAATCTCTCTGAGAAGCTAATCACATTTCGAATATTCCATATGCCGGAGATATCTGAAGGGGGGGAGCGCGCTGTATCTCGTAGGTATGTATGTATGTAGGTATATCCCGTCTATCTGTAATTATCTCGCTCAAGAAAGTGTGTTGCAAGAGCCAGAGCCGCGCATCAATGCACTTGGGAGTGTTGCCGCCGGAAGCGAGACAGAGGACCCAGGACCTTTGGCAGTGGCTGTGGCTGTGGCTGTGGCAACGGGGGATGGCGAGTCCGGGCTCCCGGGTGGAGCCAGTGTCAAGTGTCAAGTGTCGACATCTGACGGACGCAAGTGTCAGCCATTCTGTAGAGGAAGGGCAAATGTCGTCGTCTGAAGCGTCTTCTGATTTCCACTTTGCTGTTTCTCCTGTCTCCTGGCGATGTTACAGGTCACCGCCCACTCCCGGGCGGGGGAAGGGTGATGGGAGGGCTGGAGTCCTGCGGCTCCTCCTTGGCTACTGACCATGGCAACGCACGCACACGAGCGCAAGTAATCATAATAAAGGACCAGAGAGGACCTCTCTTGCCACTAGGAAAATCTTATTTCACGCTGCAAAACCACAAGGGAACGTGCCACACGCACACACACACACCGCAACAGCAGCAGCAACAGAAAAATTGCCACAGAGATATATAGAGAGAGAGAGAGAGAGAGAGAGAGAGCGATAGACAGGACAACGACCAGGACAACGACGACGACGACAGGCGAAACATGGTGACATTGTAATAATTATGCCAAAGATTATCCTTAGACCCTGCGACCCTCCTTCACACACACACACCCACCCACACACATACACACATACACAGCACAGCAGGAGGAAGGCAGAGGTGTGAGGGCGGCGACTGTTTGTGCCGCAGGACAACGACAACGACAACGACAAGGACGACGACAACGATACGATGTTGCCTGCCTGCCTGCCAGCCGCCGCGAGCAAGCGCGTTAAGTAGATGAGCTTCAATTTGTGTGTGCCTCCCGTTCCTCCTTCCATCCAACCATCCAGCCATCCATCCATCCATCCCTGTCCCTACCTATCCACCCACACCCACACCCATGTACCTTCCGTTCCTTGAGGTGGTCCCTGTGGATGGGGCGGATATCCTGTAACCAGATTTGCCCTATGTGATTAAGTAAGTCATTGAGATGGTCTCGTCCTCGATAAGCCCCTAACCATTTCTATCTTCTGTTCTTGTACACCCCCTCTCTCTCTATCTGGCAGAGCGAGTCGCTTGGTTTTCATTACGTGTTGGTCATACGACCAAAGAGGACCAAGCCTTTGAACACTTGAACATTTTCGGACAGGTGTACGAGTCTTAATTAGTCTCGTTCATGATCGTTCTATTGAAGTCACCATCTTTACCCTTACTCCCCATATGGCACCACCATTTCCATCGGAAAGTACGATATGACGTACCTTCAAGTCATTTAGTCCACCATCAAGTACGAGTATATGTATGTCTTGAGTCCACCATAAAATATATACCAATTCCAATCTTCCCTCCTTCTTCTCTCAGATATCCCTCATGCAAGCAGCTTCCGTTGACAGCTCTTTGAGTCCCTCCACTTTGATATCTAGGGTATCCAAAACTTCGGCATCTGGCCCCTCTCCAAGAACTATCTCCACTTTCTTGCTCCTTGTTGTTGTCATGCTTGTAAATTGCTATTGTGGTTGTTGTTTCTGTTGTTGCATGTTTCATGATGACGATGACGATGATGTTGCCTCCTTTTGGGGCCTGTTATCGCCTCTGCTGCATCTTCAGGTTCACGAAAAACAAATGGTAAAAAACGAGAGACAGCCAAAAAAAAAAATATATATATATATACAAAAAATAAACGGCAATAGATTTTTCTTGTGATTTTGGTTGGTACCGTTTTTAGGGCCACGTTTTGTTGCCAAGGCTAATTAACAAGCGGAAAACGCAACAAAAACAACAACAAGAACAGTGGAGCAGTGGAACCACACCATAGCTGTACTGTCACAGCTGTACTGCCACACCAAGTACTGTCGATTGCGCCCTCTTTTTGTTCGGTTTGTCCCACTGTGCACTGTGCGCATTTCCGCAACGACCGACGACCGACGAAACCAATTTCGCGACATTGTGGGCGTGTCACAGGAGGCATTGCCTTTGCTCTCGTGACAAAAAGATGGACAGCCCCGGCAAACAAATGTCGAGGAGACAGGACAGACATGGCAGTAGTGCGGAGTCCCAGTGGGGGAGAGTGTCAACGGTTATGCCAGGGCCCGCTTTTTGTGTTTGTTTTAGATCGCAATCCCCAATCGCAATGCCCTCCACACAGAAACACACTGAAAAAAGACCGAAGTACAGGGCCAACTGATGGCGCTGCTTGAGTGACACGGACACGAAACTAAACTGACACTTCAAACGACAGCAGCAGTGGAGGCAGTGGAGGCAGTGGCAGCTGTGGCAGCAGCATTGGAAAATGGGTAAAAACCCAGAGAGAAAATGAAGCGGAAAAACTCATCAAAATCAAAATCAAAATCAAATCCAAATTCAAAACTCAAACCAAAAGTCAAAACGATGGCCAAGCTGCCACACATTCTTTCCTGTCATTTTGCTGCCTCATTTTTGGGAATACTAGAATATTTCGGTGGATAATTGAATTTTCCTAGGAAGAGCCGCCTAATCAAGCGCCATCTGACATTCAACTAATTTGACAGGCACACAAATTATGTGTTTGATATTTTTGGAATATGTTTCGGTAAAAAATTTCGGAATTTGTATTATTACCGAATGTCCATTGCAGTCCCGCAGCGAATCTTATTCCATAATCATTCTAGAATCAATGGCATCCTATACTTGCAGAAGCATACGATTTTGGGCTTTAGGGACTAAAAATTTGCGGACTAAAATGGTTCAAAACTAATTTGATAAGAAAATTCCTTTATTTTGGTCGCATATTAGAAGTGTCTGCCGAAGTCTTCTGGTAAGTGGAGATCCTGCTGTTCATCCGTTGGGTCTATGGTGGGGCCTTCATTCATGATTCATGAATCACATTCGAAACTGCTTTGTGGCACTTGGAAGCTCCAGGAAAATCAGCTGGCCACATGGGGAAATCAAATTAGAAGGAGAAGTAAAGACCTAACAGTGCTGTGCATACCCGAGCAATGCTCAAATTTAAGCGCTTCAAGAAGGAACCCACATCGCACACAAATGAAACTAATTTATAAAATTTAGTCATATTTTTGGTTCAAAAATTTAGAGGAGTTTCCAAAAGGCAACGTTTTTGTAGACTGACGAATGTGTACAGTTCTATAATGACAATGCGATCGTGGGTATTTTATTTATTTTGTGCTTTTTACGACTGAGCATCAGAGATGTATCTTATCTAACAGATTGGAGAAACTCGTGGCGATCGGCTCTTTGAACACCTGGCCTTCAAACACTATTAAAGGCAGAGCCACAGCGATTTGGAGTAGGGATACTTCTATGGTAATATGCTGCATGGATTGTGATTGTGCATCTTCATCGAAAGCCTGTCTTTCCACTCTTTGGTTTTCCATTTTATATGTCTGTATATTTAGTGGTTTTTTACTCCCCATTTGACATATTTCATGGTGAAGTGAAACGCCTCCTCGGTGCCGCTGTTACGTCTGGCAGTGTTTGGCTTCTGTTTTTCGTCTCTTCGCTTGCTCTTTCGCCTGCGCCTCTCTGGCATTTAATTACAGGGTACCCTATACGGTATGCTGCTGCTGATCCTGCTGCCTGGCATCGGTCGCGTTAGCATTCGCGTTCGCGTGCCCCAGCCAGCGATTAGATGTGGCCAAAAGATACGCGCACGTTTATTAGATTCCATTAACTGATTGCCAGAGTCCGAGAGAGGTATACATACATATATGTATGCATGGCCATCCCGTATGCATATGCCACAACACATGACACGCCCCATTGTTGTACGGCTGCTTGTTAACGCCCCCCCAACGGGGGGCACTGGGGGAATCGAGGGGGTTGGGGGATAGGTCCCCGCTATCCGAAATCTATTCAATTAAAATGCAAAAGTCATAAATCTCATAAATTATTGCATTTTAAATGGCCTTCCATTTAGATATTGTCGTTGCTTTGGCGCTTTGTTGCGTTGTGTTTTGACATTTTGTTGCTTAGGCGTTTAATTTATGGAACCAATCGATTGGCAGATAGGCCCATCTATCGGCATATATCGATTGAACGCCGTCACATCACGAGTGATGTTTCAATGCTGTTTGACAGACCTTTCCTTGAAGTGGAATATTTTGAATGATTTATAAATGAAATATTGTCCCATTTGTTAAAAATGAAAATTTTAATGGAATGCAATGATTTAGACACCATTTTTTCACTGTTCTATCTCTCTCACAGTCGAATAATGAATAATGAATCATTCATGATGCAACGCTGACATGTGACTGGCAAAAACAGACAGATGATAGCCTGCCCAAGGCAAAAAATTAATGGGAAAATGTATAACTGGAATGTAGGCCGTCTTACCCTCATTCGGAAACACTTTTTGAAATTTGATTGACGTATTTTCCATAGAACTTTCCACAACGAATCGATTTGCAATTGCCATTCCGCTTCATTTATAATCGGGAATAATGTAAATATGGAAAATCATATTCGAAATTAAAGTAAGGGCAACAACAGCAAAAACAAAATAAAAATGAAACACTTAATAACTTTAGCAGCATGAATGGTTTTGTTATTAAGTAATAAAGTAATTACAATTTAATCCCAAAAGCGCATGAAACTACCAGCTACAGCAGCCATATTACGAGTATGTATGTATGTATGTATGTACCAGTATATACCAGTATATACCAGTATGTGAACGTTCTAGATATATTATTGGGTTGTGTGTGTGCATTGCCACATACCACATTTACATGGCCCAGAGCCTCCTCCCGATCCGAACTGCAATCGCATATGGAAATCGCATCACATAATCGCGTCCGTAGAGAAGCAGCTTTTAAGGGCAAATAGGGCATAATCCTAGGCAGATAGTTGTATGAAAAAAGAATGCTTTGATCTTTAGAGGATGTTTAGATCTACAGAGGAGTGCTCAATAGATTCTATGCTCTTTAAAGGAAATCACACAGCCAAAAAGGCTTTTAGCCAGCATTGCCTTATTGGAATAATGGATCGATAAATAATGTCTTCAGGCATGAGTACTCGGATATGGCATATACCCAAAAGAGCTTACAAATTTCGGCTTTTTCGAGATTCATACGATCTTTTGTTTGAGGTATTCAAAAGTCAAGTCAAAGCCTTAATTCAAGGTAGAAAAAGACTGGGAAAAGTGTGGAAAATCCATATGTGTGTACATATGCTTAACCTCCTAAAGAGGGAATGTTCAGATGTTTTCGTATATGGCATATGCTTAAAAATTCAAATATTTACTGAACGGAGAGGAAAGGCGGCGCAAAATATTTATATTATTATTATTATTGTAAATGTAAAAAAACAATTGCAGCTGGAAAAAAAAAAACGCTGAATAAAAAGTAATTGCAAAAATGGGAACAAAATGAATGGCTCGACATCGGTGTTACCGAGCAAAATGTTCACGGTATGGCGATTGGAGTGAAGGGAATCCCGATGGATGAAGCCGTTCAGTGAGTGAATGAGGCCATATCTATGGCCAATTCGTGCTTATCCTCGTGGCTGTTACAGCCACGTAGCTTGTAGTCCAGGGTAACAACAACAGCAACAAGATTGCATTGAAAAAACATGGCACAAAAAAACATGTAACATGCATAAATATGTTTTTCTTTGCCCCTACCCTACCCCACCACACACACACACACACACAGTACTCGTATTATTATTATTATTATTATAATACTCGTAATTGTTGTTGTAGTTGTCGTCGGGTCTGGGTCTCCCATCAACAACGAGTGTCCTCCCCATTGTCGCCAGTTGTCGTTAATTCAAATATTTTCATATTGCTTTTCTTTTTTTTTTTTGCTGTGTTGTGTGTGTGTGTGTTTTTTTTTATGGGAATAATGACAAAATACACTTTTTGCCCATCGACACGATGGCGAAAAAAAGAGGGGTAGGGGGGCAGTGGGATGTATGGGAAAATCTATGTATGGATGGAACATCATAAATATTGCATATAATCGACAGAATGGATCCAATGGATATGAGGAAAATGTAAATATTTTATACAGCAAAAAAGTAAACATGCCACAAATAATTATTGCAATTATTTATGTTTTTTTGATGAGGATATGGAAATGGATAACTGAAGGAAAGAGCAATAGGTGGGAGCACCTCCACTAGGTAATCATTAAAGATAGAATTTAGATATAATTTACTATCGTTCTTCTAATCTTCAGTCCTCAATCTTCGATCTCAATCTATCCCTTGATGCCTCCATCAATTTCGAATTTACGAAGGGGTGGGGATTGTCGCTCGATTTGTACAAATGGCAGTTGACTTCCTCCCCACAATTCCCACATCGAGCGGAACAGGTCTCTGCCCCATTGCATGAATGAATGGATCATGTTTCTACAGCAGCAGCAGCAGCAGCAGCATCTCAACATCAAAGAGGAGGCAACACTCCTCGACTGACATAATCGAGAGACAACAACACAGGCCAGAGCAGGCCAGGCCATGCCAGGAGTTGGCTCCAACAACGGCTACAGCTCCAGCTCCTGCCTTTGCTGGATGATGCTCCATTGCAATTTCATTTTAAAAGAAAAATTAACGTGAATTATAAAAAATAACTTGAAAACGTAGCAGCGTCAGTGGCAGCAGCAACAGCAGCAGCAGCAGCAGCAGCAGTGGAGGCCAAGGAGGTTGTGCCGCATAGTGCAACCGGCAACAACAAATAATTGGTAATCTTGCAGATATAATGATAATCACAACAACAACAAAAACAACAACAACAAGCAGCAGCAACAAGCAGCAGCAACCAGCAGCAGCAACAATCCACAGTATTACCAGTTTTCGAAGCGAACCCAAAGCTTGAACTTAACGTGCGCCTGAATGTCCTCATTGAAGTGATGGTAAAACAGAGAGAGATAGGGAGACAGAGGAAATACAACAGCAACAGCATGAAAATGCAACAGAAGAAAACAACAACAACAAATGGCAATGGCCACGGCAACGGCAACAACGGCAACAACGGCAACAACGGCAGCCAAACGGCAACGTGCCTCTTGGATTGGACCTGGACCTGGACCTCTCCGACCGAGTCTCCGTCTGGTGCTGCTGCTTGCCTTTTGCCTGCACCTCCACCTCCGCCAGCGCCTCAGCCTGCAGCTCGACCTGCCATCGCCATGCCCCATGCCCCATGCCCCATCTCCCATCTCCCACCTCCCTTTCCGACCGCGAATGCTGCTGCTGCTGCTGCTACGTGAGCAGCACACGCGGTGGCGGCAGCGGTGTGATTACCAGCGGCGACCGGGCGGCGGTTGCGGTTACACCTGAAATGCTGAAAGCTTGAACAGCAAAAAACAAAAAAAAAATAAACTAAAAACAAGAGATACAAAAAGCAGCAACGGAGAAACAAAGGTACAAATACTCGTAACTAAAATCTGAAACTCAAGCTGTGGCAGAGCACAAATTTTCAAATGGTTTTTAGCTGCCCAACTCGAAGACGTATCGACCGGTGGGATTACCTATAAATTTGTGCACGAAACTTGTTTTCAAAAGTCCGTTTTTTTGGTGCATAAATTTGATTTATTTTTAATCTTTATGTACTTACATGTTAGGTATTTTTAGCTTTTTTATTTTCTTTATTATTTATTTGTTATTTTTAACTATTTTTTTTTTGTATTTTGTATTTTTAGTATTTTCAATTATATTTTATTTTAGTATTTTTTAATTTTAATTGTGTTTTTTTTAATTGGTTTGGTGTACATTTTTTTTAAATATCTACTTACAGTATTTTCCTCTTTAGCATTTAGTATTTGTTTGGTATTTTTTAACTGGTTGATTATTTCAGTATTTTTAGTTTTTTGCAAATTAGTATTATTTAGTATATTCATATTAATTTTTTATAAGTTAGAATTTTTAAATGGTTGACTATTTTATTATTTGCAGATTTTTCTATATATGCTTTTTATTTATTTTTTTTAAATAAGTATTTTTTAAATGCACTATTTTCAACTATAACTGAATGTGGATGTTGGTGCCCTCAACATTCCAATTACTAAATCAAATAAAGTCACTCT